CCGATAATTCCCGATATTAAATTTTTTTGTGAATATCCCTAGTGTTTTTGTTTTTTGTTTTGTTTTCTTAAAATGAGCAGGTTTTATCTACAGATGCCATGGATCGCCTTACATAGAGTCCGCCATGTTGAATTGCTATGTTTCCACAGTAGCCCAGAATGGACAAACCAAACACTCTGGCTCTAGAGAGGGGTGATTGCATTTTTCACACATTTCACAGCAACTGTAGTTTCTCGTTCTAGGTTGAAGCGTCAGAGTTTCGATCTGAAACTACCACTAAATCCTACACACTAGACCTTTAAATTTGAGAATCACTACTGTGAAGGTACACCCCTAGAAAGGTAATCTAAAATCCCATAATTTTCACCCAGCAGACTATGTTTTGAAAAATGAAGGAGTACATCTTTGAATCTTGGTACACTTAGTTAACAACAAGTACTTGGCAGTAACATGTACAGTATTTATGACTTACTAGAGGGACCATGTACACAGTCAGCAGTCTGGCCACAGCAATGGACACCTCAGAGTACAGTGATCCTAAGAAAATCTTGACTATCGGCCTGAAGTCGCTGTAGTCCCACTTCACATTTAGAGAGTTGTTGACTGCGAGCATGTGCTCCACATTCTGCAACGCTTTGCTTGCATACGAGCATGTGTCACACATCAAATACCCAAGGCGCACTCCTGGGAGGAAGCCAGCTGCATTTATCTCCTCAATTTCGTGGATTGCAGCCAGGGATATCATAAATGATTGTAGATCGAAACTGAAAATGGACAGTGTAAACACACATGAAACTATCTGTGCTTGAGCAAATGTGGCAAAAGAAAACAAACAAATTACTGTTATACTGTTTTATAAATGTAAACATTTGTTTAACTGCATGGTAAAATTACTGGTGTTGTCAATGGAGTCTGGTCAGCCGTAGCGCCCATTGTTTTGGTCTGAGATGCTGGTGTTCTAGAGCAACATCTAGTGGCAAATTAATTTTGTATATACTGTATAACCTTTAAAACAGGGGTCTCAAACTTAAATTGGCTTGGGGCCACTGCTGGTGATGTCATCTCATTGGAGGGCCACTTCAAGTCCTACAAGAATATTCTGAAAATATTTACAGTACTAATACATTGTTATATAATCATTTTATATCATCTTTGTTGTTCGCAGCCACACAAATAAAACCCTGAAACCTGCTCTCTTCTTATCAACTGTTTTACATTTGTAGGCAAACAAAATACATTTTATAAACTATAACTGTGTTTATATTCTAATTGTATATGAATGGGTAGTTTAAATTGATGTAAAACAACTAGAAAATAAATAAATATATATATAGTATATAATATGTTTGACATCATGTTACTGGCTGGAAGGAGGGGGATGGAGGGCCGGAAAATGGCCAATGGACCAGCAGTTTGAGACCCCTGCTAGATAAGGAAGTAAGTTTGCATAGTAAAACCCTCTGAAATCTGGAACATGGGCCAAAGTAAAACTACTTGTGGGGTTTATGCAGTGATGTGATTTTAGAAAGCCATTTAGGATGTACAGTTTCAATTAACTGTGGAAGGAATTATTTTCATTGATTTGTTACAGTATTAAAGTTAAAATAAATAATAAAAAGAGAATAATGAGAATAAGAATGTGAGAAGTGCTTTCACAGGCAAAAAAGTAATGGATTAAGCAAAGAAGAGATCATAGCAATGACAAAAAAAAATGTAGATGGAAGCCAGAGCTTACGTCTCTCACTACACAAATGAAAACTAATGAAAAATGTGTAATTAGTTAATAATAAGTTATGCTTATACACACATATATAGTTTCCTTTCATCATTTTAATTCATTTTATTACATTATTATTGTCTATTAGTTACTGTTCATGTTGTGAACTGTATATAACAAGTGTCTACACACATACTTGAAAGAAAGATACAGTTCCTGACACAAATGTATATGTTCTCAAACTCACTCTGAGCAGTGGAAGCTCTCAGGTCTGATCCGTTCATGAAGATTCTTCACTTTCTGATGACACGGCAACAGTATACCAATCACAATGTCCCCAGGAGCGTGGGCCCCACAAATTGTGTAGTCACATCCATCCACACTAGCAGGGACTCCAATCAACATGATCAGAGCCGAGAGGAGGCTGCAGAGCAGACGCTTCTGCATCTTGAAAGGGTAACAAAGCACTCAAGGGATGTGCAGGAACGTTCTTAATCTCTGACATGCAATTTGGGAGGTGCTAGATACAGGGCAGGCAGGAAACCTGTTTTAAAACAGGAACTTGAAAGAATGTTTTTAATGCATCAGATGCCATCCTCCAGGCATTTCCCACTCTGACAGGTGCTGGCACAAGGAAGTAAAGTGTCAAAGAACATTTTTAATTCACAATTCACAATTGTTCGATAGAATTATGAATACTGTTTCTCTAGGAACCTTTAAAGGTCAATAAAAGACTGAAAGAATCAACCAATCAAGAGATACTGATTATTTATTTGCCCCTTATTATCATAAAAATAATAGAATATATGCATTTGAACTGCTATGCTCTTCATTTCCTTTAAGCATGCTACAGACTGTTGCGCAATCATCAATTCCCTCTATTAGGCAAGGCAGGTTTATTCAGTCATACACATAAGCAATTCAAAGTGCTTTACAAATTAGCAGATAAAAAAACAGAAGTCAAATGCTGCTATTCAATGATTTATTTCAAATTGACAAAAATTGATAGGTTTTGGTTTGGTCATCATCAGCCCTACGTGAACCTGCAGAGGAACTTCATCTGTCATAAATAACAGAATGCTAAAAAAAGAGTAAAACAAATCAGGCATCTTGTCCTCTAACATATGGGAAATAGTTGCCATGAACAAGAGACAAATTGGAAACTCCTGCTACTGTTATCCTTGGAAAACAGTCAGTCATTTTGGACATGACAGAATGGACAAAATAGACCAAATCCTGGGTACGGCTTTATAATCAAAGTCCTTAAAAAAGCATTTAAGATTATCAACGACCCAACACATTTAAAGCTGCTGCCATCTGCATTTTAGACTGCACATATCTAAAACAAATAGAAGGAAGCCTTAAGACTTGTGACGTTATTATAAATGGTCAGTTTACCTTGTGTATAGACTAATAGTTTTTCTGTTTGCATACTTCCCTTAAATTCCCCCTTAAGGACAAATAAATTATTTTAAATTGAATTTGTTTGAATTTGTGTGTAACATACTTATATCTGTCGTTTGTGTTCTTGTTAAAATAGCATCATTTTCAAGGCAAAGCAAGATAAGGCAAACATATTTATATAGCACATTTCATACCCAAGTGAACCCAAGTGCTTTACAGAATACAAAAAAGCAAAAAAATGTATGAAAACAACCAAAACAAGAAAGCAAAAGCACACAGAGTAAAAACAATAATGAACATACATTTGCTTTAAAAGAAAATTAATTAAAAGCAAAGGTAAACAGGTTGGTCTTATTTGAAAGCAATCAGCAATGTTACCAGTTCCAGATTCTTAGATGGTTGTTTATACTGCACTAGATATTGAAGGATAGAGTTCTCACTATCTTAACTAAACCAGAGAATGTAAACAACCAGGTAATCAACAGCATCGGAGGTGTTGGTATGAACACAAAATAGCTAATCTTAACTACACTGTCACATACCTGGACAAAGCATTGTTGCACATAACGTCACGTCACTGTGTTCTTGCACTGAACTGTAGATGGAGGGCAGGAAATTATTGTCAGATTTGGAGCGATCATAAACTCTCAAAATGCCTTTTTTTTGCTGAGGCCGTTATAGTTACAATAGTTACATATCTTCTGTTTTTCCTCTCACATCATGCGCTTTTCTGCCACAACTCTCATAGTTTACAGAGTTTGCTGATAGACATTTACTTCTATCTATTAGCTAAAAGCTAACTGCTGCTAATGGACAGGGAGATTGAGGCGGTTCCGGTTGTCCGAAGGTCCTGTACCAGAGATGTAACGTTAAACACCAACGCTGCCCCAGTGCTCTGGGCTCCCAATCCAGGTAGCGTAGCGTGAAAGTTAAACCAGTCTTCAACATGGCAGACTTTGTAAAGGTTTTTTTGAAGATAAAAACAGCTCATTCTAAAGAAACAAAAGCGATTCTTATATTCAGGTGATTACACTAATGAAAACATACAGTATCTATGAATATTATATTCCATTTCTGACAATAGATCATCCTAAATGTTACACATTGGAACTTTAAAGGATCTGAGTACTTTCCCTCTTGTGAGAATGTATGTATTCAACATATTCTATCCCAATCTGCTAGTATGATTTTATGAGATTACAGTCTGTTATGTCAGTGCTTCCCAACCTTTTTCCTTAAATGGCATACTTTATGTATATTTTTATATTATATTCAGTGCATAACAATAACAGAGAACAACAGATAAACTGTACAATGTGTCATGATCCGCTCCTGGC